TGCTTTCCAAGTGCTGGGATTGAAGGCATGTCACTATCACCCAGCATAAATAAATGTTTTAAAAAACTTTAAAAGTAAAAGAGCATTGGTGGCCGGGTGGTGGTGGCGCACGCCTTTAATCCCAGCACTCAGGAGGCAGAGGCAGGCAAATCTCTGTGAGTTCAAGGCCAGCCTGGTCTACAAGAGCTAGTTCCAGAACAGGATCCAATGCTACAGAGAAACCCTGTCTCGAAAAACCAAAAGAGAGAGAGAGAGCAATGGTTTTCTTCTATAGGAGATAGTAAAAGGTGGACTTAAAAAAAACTTACATACATACTGCATATATACTGTGTGTATGGACCACAGTAAATTCATGGGTGGCAGGACAATTTACAGAAGTTGGTCACAGGGTCACAGGTATCATATTGAAGGCAACAGACTTGGCAACAAGCACATTAACCCAAAGGTAAAATTTTGTTGTTGTTTGAGAAAGGGTCTCACTATGTAGCTCCGGCTGTCCTAGAATGCACTATGTAGACACAGGCAGTCTTCAAACTCAGAGATCTGACTACTTCTGCCTCCTGAGTGCTGGGATCAAAGGTGTACACCATTAAGCCCAGTTCCAAAGGCACAATTATTTATGAATAGTTTGGACCTATTCTAACATCCTTGTTAAAAACCCAATCCCTAGCCAGGCAGTGGTGGCGCATGCCTTTAATCCTAGCACTCGGGAGGCTGAGGCAGACGGATCGCCATGAGTTTGAGGCCAGCCTAGTCTACAAGAGCTCCAAAACTACAGAGAAACCCTGTCTTGAAAAAAATAAAAACAAAAACCCAATCCCTTGGAGAAGGAGCTGTTCTAGACTTCTGCAAATCAATGAAATTATCAGGCACTTAAACTGATCTCTATAGACATTTTAAATGAGGTTAACTTAGGACCAAGGGCTTCTAGAAATATACACTAGAGGTTTAAACCAAGGCCCTAGCCTGCCGGATGGGACAGACACACCTCTTACTGCAAGCCTCCAGTTACAGCCACCTGTGAAATGGCCGCACATAAAACAACAGGCTTGGGAAAACTCACCTTCCGGTAAACTAGAGACTCGCAAACTTCATTTATTCAGTTAGGATGTTTTTCACCAGGCATGGTTGTGCACTGCACACCTGAGTCTAATGCTTAGGTGGCAGAGACAGAAAGATCAATACAAGTCAAAATTCAGCCTGTCTTACACAGAGAATTCCAGGCCAGCCAGAACTACCTGGTGAGAAACAAAATTAATCAATACATAATTAATTAATCAATACATAATACCTCTTCCAAAGAGCTGGCCTTAAAGACATGGACATATGGTATCAGCACTCATGAAACTGAGAGAATTACCCAGGAGTTTAAGAATTCCAAGTTCAAGGCCAGACTCAAAAACACAGTAAGATTCTATCTCCAAGAAAGAAAGAAAAATAATAAAGGAAAGAAAAGTAGTCATGGTCATGTTCATGCTCAGGAGATTTAGGAATGAAAATAAGAGTTCAAGGCCAGCCTCAGCTACACAGCAAGTTAAAGATCAGCATGGTAGGCTATCAAAAAACCTTGTCTCGAAACAAACACAAACAAGCTGGACAAGTGAAAATACATCTGTACTCCAAGCACCTGGGAGAGGGAATTTGAATTGCCACAAGTGAGAGACCAGCCTGGTCAAAGTCAAGCACCAGGCTCAGAAGGAGACCAACTCAACAAACAACTTAGAGGCAAAGAACAAAAGAGGACACAGCAGGAGTTCTCCACGCCTCTCAGGTCTGTCTCCCTCTCTTTCACACTAGCCAAAGCATCTGACACTGCTTCCATTCACTCTGCTGTGAGATGTGGTGGTTGTTTGCAGCCATTTGCTGTTATCCTTGGGTTTGTTTTGTTGTTTATGAAGCAGGGTCTAGAAGTGTAGCCCAGGCTGGTCCCAAATTCTGAAAGTGTCTGACTCAGCCTTCCATATGCTGGCTATATTACCATGCCCCATTAAGATGCTATTTTTTTTTTTCCATATTGGGCATGGTGGTATCCACCTTTGATACCAGCACAAAGAACTCTGTGAGTTCGAGGGCAGCCTGTTCTATAAAACTCTGTGAGTTCTAGGACAGCCAGGGTTACTCAGAGAAATGCTGTCTGAAAAACAAAAACAAACAAACAAAAATGCTGTTTTTTCAGGACACTATCAATCTTTTTGAGAAAGAGCTATTCTCCCTTCACCCCCGTCACACACACACACACACACACACACACACACACACACACACCATAATCCCTGTTACCTCTCTGTGGCCAGCAGCTCAGTGTGCCACCACCTCAGCCACCACTTCACCACAGATCCATATCTACTTTTGCTTTCTTGTAGTAGATAGATCCTTACAAAATGCACACCTACCCTAAAGTTTGAGTCTTTCTGTCTTTCCTTAGTGTTTCCACCAACACCGTACAGCTAATCCCTCTCAACTTCATGTGTTTTCTGGTTTTAACCCCTCTGAATCCATTCAGCATTACCTGCGTGTGTATGTATGCATGGCCATCAAATGGACCATCCCCTGCCTCTCGGGAGCTGTATACTGGAAGAAAATTGACTCTCTCTATCCAAGCAACAATCAGTTGCTAAGTGTTTCTCAGCTAGGGGTATGATTTTTGTGACCACCTTCCTGACCAGTGCATCCTGGGATTTTGACCAGCTTTATCTTTCTCATGTTTCATGCCATCCTGTAACAACCATTGAGTTCATAGGCTTAGCAGCCCTGTGCAGTCCAGAAAATACTGTGTTATGGGGATGGAGAGATGGCTTAGTGGTTAAGAACACTGCCTGCCTCAGAGGACTTGGATTCAATTCCCAGTACCCACATGGCAGCTCACAGCTGTCTGTAATTTCTAGTTCCAGGGGATCTGACACCCATGGCAAAACATCAATGCATGTATAAAATAAAAATAAATATATGTTGTTGTTGTTGTTGTTGTTTTTTTATTTTCAAGACAGGGTTTCTCTGTAGGCTTTGGAGCCTGTCCTGGAACTAGCTCTTGTAGACCAGGCTGGCTCGAACTCACAGAGATAAACCTGCCTCTGCCTCCTGAGTGCTGGGATTAAAGGTGTGCACCACCACCACCCAGCTAGAAATAAATAAACTTAAAATAGAAAAAATACTATTATATCCATCCACCCACTCCAGCTCTTACAAACAATCTTTCTGAAGAGTGCTTCCTTCTGGAAAACTTGGAAGGAGGAGGGAAGTGTAAGGACTTTTCTGGCCTGAGGGCATCTTGGCAGTTGGGATCCAACAAATAATACAAAGTCACACCATGAAACAAACCTCACACAACTGATTTGATGGAGGCAGAATCCCAGAATGGTGGCTGCCTCAGACTGGGAACAGAGACACCTGTGGGCTGAGCAGACAGAGGGGGGAAGGGACTTTTTACTTTTTTTGGGGGGGAGGGGTTTCGAGACAGAGTTTCTCTGTGGCTTTGGAGCCTGTCCTGGAACTAGCTCCGTAGACCAGGCTGGTCTTGAACTCACAGAGATCCGCTTGCCTCTGCCTCCCAAGCGCACGCGCGCGCGCGCACACACACACACACACACACACACACACGTGCGCGCACATACACACACACACACACACACACACACACACACGCCCTGACCCTCACACACACTTAACAAACAAATGTGGGTGTCTCCAAACCCAGCAATGTTTTCTCCACTTCCATTGAGAAAAAAACAATTCAACATGAACTTTCTATCTGTCTTTCTGTCTTCCATCTGTTTTCAAGGCAGGGTTTCCTTGTGCAGCCCTGGCTGTGTTGGAATTCTCTCTGTAGACCAGGCTAGCCTCAAACTCCCAGAGATTCGCCAGCCTCTGCCTCCCCAGTGCTGGGATTAAAGGCCTGTGCCACCACCACCCAGTGGACTTTTGAAACTATTAACAGTAGGCACATAGAAACGTATGGTTTTAAACCAGGTTTAGTGGCTGAAACCCAGCACTCGAAGGCCAGAAATGCAAACCCTGGCCAGGCCTGGCGATGGTGACCAGGTGCTCCTTAATCCCAGCATTCAGGTGCAGAGACAGGAAGCTCTCTCCGTGAGCTCCAGGCTGTCCGGACATCATAGGAAAGGGTGGAGAGTTTACTGAAATTGCAATTTTATGGGCTGGGGTTGTAGCTCAGAGGCAGACCGGTTAGTATGCAGAAACAAAGCCCTTGCTTGACTTGAGCCTTGCACCACAGAAACAAACTGAGCCCCCTTTGGTTTACAGAAAGGGAATTTACAATTAATAAGAAATGGGTTGTTTTTGTCCAACCCAGGGCCCTAATTTCATTGGCTAAATAGGAGTCTGCTCACACAGCTTGTTCCGAATTCTTTTGGAACTCCACTTTCCTTAAGCAATATTTACAGTTTGGCTTGCTTTTTCTTTTAATTTCTATTTCTGTCTCCGCCCCCTTCCCTCCCTTCCTCCCTTCCTTCTTGTTTTTTTTTGGGGGGGGGGAGGGGAGGGCTGAGGGGGTGGACAAGGACTCACTATGTAACTCTGGCTATCCTGGAACTCACGGCGTAGACCAGGATGGCCAGAGTTCAGAGAGATCTGCCTGCCTCTGTTTGCTTCCCCAGTTCTGGGATTAAAGGCGTGTACCACCACCCCCGGCAATATTTATAGCTTTTAGCTCCTCAAGAGCAGGGTGTGGCGGCTCACTCCTCAATAAATCACAGCGCAGCGTTCTGCGGAGGCTGAGCAGTACAGCTCGGAATTCTAGGCTCCATAAAGTGAGTTTCAGGCCAGCCTGGGAAACAGGAAAACCCTGTCTTAATAATAATAATGATAATTAAAAAAAAAAAAAACCAACACAGTGCTGACTTTATTTATCAGCCACGGTCAGACTTTAGCACCACAAATAGGTGGGGGCGTGGGCGGGAGGTTGGGGGAACGGAAGGGGGCGTCGAGGCAACAGGAAGTAGGAGGAGATTTCTAAAAGCTGCCTGAGGCCAGAGGTCATTTGGAAGGTGGAAGAATTTTCTTTCGCGGTTTCGTCTAATTCGGAGATGGAGAATGCTGGAAACCAGGAGGTGAGAGCTGTTTTTCTTTGTCGATCTGGCTTTCCAAGTAGGTGGGTCTCATGCCTTTATTTTCTGAGCACACCCTGCCTTTGTTTGGGGCGTGAAGAGGACCAGCGTTACAATTTGTTCCACTTTAATGAGTCCCAGGCAGGTGTGTGGCTCAGCAGCGGGCCTCTTGCACGGTGTTACGCCAGGGCCACAGCGCCTGGCTGCAGAGGATGCGTTACAAGAGGAGGTTGTGTTTTGGAAGGGATGTTTTGTTAGGTAGTTATTTACAGTACCGTGACTGGAGGGAAACAGAAAAGTGGAGAGGTAAAATGAAATCAAGGCTTTGGGTAGCAGTCTGCCTCAGGAGGAACAAGAGCCACCCCTTATCTTTAGAGAGCCAGAGGCCTCAACCCACACGTGCCTGGTGCCTGCTGCAGGACTTTCAGGCTCCTAATCTTATCCAAGTGTCCTCAGGGTTGAGGAATTCGGGAAGGCAGGCATTGCTGGTTTCTAATAGCAGGAACCAGGCTCCTGAGCGTTCTCCAGGTATCCTTTCCAAGATTTCCGTCTTTCTTCCATTTCCATGTTTCTTCGTGTAAGAATTTGTTAGGTTCAAAAGTGAAGGCTTTCTGAAAAAGATTATGCAAAAGTAAGTTTTGAATGTCAGTGTGAAGCTAGTTCCAATTGAGATGTAAAACCGCTGAGTTGCAAAGTAACAGACTAATGTTAACTTGTCTCACCTTGCAGCTCTTGGGGGGTGGCGCTTGCAAAGAATTTAGGCTTAGGAGCAAGCGACCAGGGATTGCTTTTTAATTTTTTTTTTTTTTTTTTACTTATTTATCTGATTTTTCGAGGCAGAGTTTCTCTGTGTAACACCACTGTTTTTCCTGGAACTCGCTTGGGCTTGGGCCTTGTACTCAATGAAATGCCCCTTTCTCTGCCTCCCGAGTGCTGGGTTTAAAAGCGTGCGCCACGACCTCGGGGCTAGGATTCCTGAACTCGTAATGTTTGACCGTGGGTCTGCGTCTGTTTCCAACAGTTGCTGGAAGAAGCCTCTCCCATGACAATGGGGCTAGGGACCGATCTATGTGTATAGCAGAATATTGTTTGGCATCGCTATCTTGACTTGTTTTCCACTCCAGTCATGTTTGGTTCTATTTTCGGTCTCTGGGTGATCCAGCCTGTGGGTGCTGGAGTTCCAGGCAATGTCCGGGTGCGCTCACTCTCCTGGCATGGGTTTCAGTCTAGACTGGTCATTAGTTGGTTATCCCCTCAATCTCTAGGGGCCACCGTTGCCCCGGCATATGCACAAACTGTTGGTCGAAGTTTATGAGGCTGGGTTAGTTTCCCACTTGCTCTGCTTGAAGCCTTGCCTGGTCACAGGAGATGGCCAGTTCAATGTTATTGCTAGGACTGTCTTAGCTGGGGTCATCCTGTGAGCTTTCCTTGTGCTAGGTTTTTACCTGGCCCCCAAATTTCCCTGCTTCCAGTAGTCTCTTTCAGTATTCTTCCCCTCTTGATCGCTCATGTTCCCGTCCACACCTGCCCTCAGTTCACTCAAATCTCTTCTAACTCTCCTTCCCAAAGAGATCTGGGCATCTCCCTGTGAACCCTCCTTGTGAATCTAGTCTCTCTGGGTCTGTGGATAGTTATCCTTTATTTTATAGCTAGTAGCCACTACTGAATACATAGCGTATTTTATCTTTCTCACTCGGGATGGTGTCCTTGTTTTTAATAGTTGAGTTGAGTTACTCCATTGTGTAAAATGTACCAGATCTTATTCATCCATTCCTTGAGGGACATCTAGGTTGCTTCCAGGTTCCGGCTAGTACAAATAAAGCTGCTTTGAACATAGTTGAGCAAGTGTTAAGCGTTCTTGTGATATGATTGAGCATCCTTTGAGTATATGCCCAAGAGGGGTATAGCTGGGTCTTGAAGTAGATTGATCTGCCTTTCCTTGTTCTCTTTTGTGGTTTTTCGAGACCTGGTTTCTCTAGCTTTAGACTCTGCCCTGGAACTCGCTCTGTAGGCCAGGTTGGCCTCACTGAGATCCACGCGCCTTTCCCACCTGAGTGTTGGCATTAAAGGTGTGCTCCACCATGGCCTAGCTTCCTTTTCTTTTGAAACAGGGGTTTCTGTAGCCCTGGCTGTCTTGAAGAGATCCACCTGCTTCTGCCTGGATATCCCTGATCTTGGGATAAAAGCATGCACAAACCATCACCACCTCTAAACTTTAGTGAACTTTGAACTTTTTGTCCGCCAGGTTGAAAATACAGTAGTGTTTGTGAAGTTATATGAAGATTAAGTGAAGACGAGGAGTGTGCTTAGTCTATTGTCTACTTTTTAGTTTTTCTATATTTAGTTATGTTTTCTGTAGTCTCTTTGTTCCAATAATTAAATTGATGGGTGTTTATTATTGAGTGTCAGCAATGAAAGGGAAAGAGACCTGATCCTTGTGGAGTTCAAAATCTGATTGCATCAACTCACAGAAAGAACCTCATAGAAGGCTGAAATTGGCAGGTAGAAATGAGGCAGTATGGTTGATTTTGCTGGAAAGGGATTCTGTTCTAGCAGACTATCCTTCTGCTGAAGGCGTAAGGTATAAGAATTGAAGCGGAATTTGAACCTAGGGCTGAGGGAAAGCAATTTTTGGGGTGGCAGTGGAGAAAGATGCAGGCTTCTTCCCCCCAAAGTCAACTAGTTCTCTGTTGCCTTTGTCACTTTCTTCCTATTGCTTTGTTGGTATCTCGCCTAGTGCTTTTGGTTTTGTTCTGTCCACTAACCTTGGCCTGAGGCTCATTATGGCTTCTAACTCTTGGTGATCCTTCTGCATTTGCTGCCCAAGTGCTAAGATTGCAATTAGAACTTTTTTCTTTCCTTAAGATAGTCTCACAGGGGACTCACACAGTGTGTACGCCTTTAATCCCAGCGCTTGGAGACAGAGGCAGGTGGAACTCTGAATTTGAGGCCAGCCTGAAGAGAGTGAGTACCAGGACCATTACACAGAGAAACCCTGTCCTGAAAGATAGAAATTTTAAAAAAGGAATCTCCTAGTAGTAGGATTAAAATTGTGTTGCCAACAAGCCTGCTTTTCATGTTGGCTCCCTCATTTCCCCCAACCATTGGCTCCCTGTTTCATTAGTCAGACATCAAATGATGTCCCATGAGAGAGAATTCACCATGGCAGTCATACATAGTGTATATAACAGGTATATGCATATACCTCTTGGGGACCTTAGATGTGAGTTAGTTTAGAGCAAGGAAGGGGGTGTGCTGGCTCAGGACACAGATAACTACTGTCTGACTCCTCTGTCCCCAGTTGAGCAGCACAGGAAAGCCAAGAGAAGTGGACTGCCTGATGTCTAGTCAACCGAACACATCCTTTGCAAAGCCCCCTGCAAAGAAAAAAAGAGCAAAAAAGACAGCAAAAGAGGACGATTGTAAATCAAACAAGAAAGCAGGAGATGCTGAGACTCCAAAACCCACTCCTAGGAAAATACCAGTTCCTCCTCTACCGGATTATCTGCCCCCAGTGAACCTGATTCACCGAGACATTTTGCGGGAATGGTGCAAGAAGCAGAAGCTGAGCAGCAAAGGCCAGGTGGAGCCCTAGTGGGGGAGCCTCTTGCTGAGTGGGAGAGTGGATCCAAACTTCTTCACTAACAACTCTTTCTTTGTTGTTGTTTTCTGTCTTAGAAATTAGAGACTTACAAACGACTCCTTGCAAGTTCTTACCCCAAACAAATGGTAACTATTTATTTATGGAGATTGTTTAGTATTTAGCCCAGGCTAGCCTGGTGGTCAAAAGAACTTTTGGTGACTGTCCAGGCAGCAAGAGGTGTCTCTGTCATTTCTAGAGTTTTGGAAGTTGCTTACTTCTTGTTTTACTTAGGGAATATTATATCCTTCTGGAGTCTTTGAAGTTGAAGAATGGCTAGTTTTTACTATATTAAAAATTAAAGCTTTGGGGCTGGAGAGATGGTTCAGAGGTTAAGAGCACTGACTCTTCAGAGGTCCTGAGTTCAATTCCCAGCAACCACATGGTGGCTCACAGCCATCTGTAATGAGATCTGGTGCCCTCTTCTGGCTAGCAAGCATACAGACATAATACATAATAAATAAAATCTAAAAAAAATTAAAGCCTTTCTTTCTTGTTTAAACAGAAAAAGGATGGTCTTCTGTCTGTATTACTTTCATTGGTTAAATAAAGAGACTGCCTTGGCCTTTTGATAGGGAAGAAAATTAGGTGGGCGGAGTAGACAGAACTGGATGCTGAAAAGAACAGAGTCAGGCAGACGCCATAAATCTCTGGCCTGAGACGAATGTAGGTTAGACTCATGCCGGTAAGACATGTCACATGGTGTTACACAGATTTAATAGAAATGGGTTAATCAAGATGTGAGAGTTAGCCAATAAGAGGCTAGATATAATGGGCCAGACAATAATTTAATTAATACAATTTCCATGTGGTTATTTTGGGTCTAAGCTAGGTGCGCGGTGGGATGTAGCCCGCTCACCTCATACTATGTTCTGCTACTTAGCAGTTTCTTCAGCTTTTCTTGATCTGTTTAACTTACCCGTTCTGTCTGAATGAGTCTATTCTGTCACCAATACCTCCCTCATGCAAAGCCACATTTTTTGATTCTCTTTTAATCTCTCTCTCTTTTTTTTTTTTAAGTTTATTTAAGGGTAGCAGTATTTTGCTTGCGTGTTTGTTTTTGTACCATATGGGCTTCTGGTGCCCTCAGGCTAGAAGAGGACATGGAGTCCCATGGAACTAGAGTTACAATGAATGAGCCACCATTCAAGTGGTAGAAGTGATTCCAAGTTTTCTACAAAAGCAGTGAGTGGTCTGTATGATCATGTACAGGTGTGTGGTTCAGCCAATTTATGGATGTCAAAGGACAACACTGGGTATCAGTTCTTGCTTTGTCTTTTATTTTAAGCCAGAGTCTCTTTGTTGTTTACTAATGGATACGCTAGACTGACTGGCCAGGTAGGCTCCTGGTTCCGCCTCCCATTCTGCTATAGGAGCATTGGAATAGAATTACAGGAGTGAGCCGCTGCGTGTGCTTTTTATATGTGGACTATGGAGATTCAAATTCAAATCTTTTCACAGTGTTTTGCCCGCTGAGCAGTCTTTTCCCGTTCTTATTTAATATTTCCCACTATTATCTATACTATCCCAGACCGAATTAGACAACATTCCTGACACACCGAGAGAGGCCAGGGTGAAGATACGTAGGAAAAAATTGAAGACGGAGACGGAGGAGGGACAAGAGTCTTGTCCTCAGGTGATAGTGCCTCTTGAAGTGGTTCCTGTACCTGAGGAGCAGATGCCTGCCCTTACTGAACCGCCTGTCCTCTATGAAGAGGTCAGCACGACGGTTGTGACCACAACCGCCTCTGAGGCAGTGTTGGCCTCTTGGTCGAGGATTGCAGCCAATGCTAACAAGAATGTGGCCCTGCAGTCCATTAAAACACCCGAGACAAACGGTAAGTCACAACCACCAGAGATTCCTGAGCCACACCCACCCATCCTATTATTTCTTGAGTTCCATCCAGGGTAGGGCCTGAGAATTAGTATTCCTTGGTATTGTTGAGATGGGATCTAAAAAGTATAACCCAGGATGGCCCTTGTTTGGCTTAGCTTTCCATATGCCGAGATTACTGATGCTCATCACCACCCCTGTCTCCACCCAAGGGTCCACATTTCTAACATCTACCCAAACAACCGTGAGGCTTCTGATCCAGGGAGTCACACTGACAGTTACTTCTTCAAATGACTCACGCACCAAGCAGGAAGCAATGTGCTTTCATGTCATTTCTTCTCCTTTCTTTAAAGAACACTCTGGGATTGAGGCTGGGATCTCTTGTTGTCTATTAAGTAGGTGACGCTAACAGTCTCCAGTTTCTCATTACAAAATAGATACAATTTAGAAAAGGCGTGTTTTTGGGGACAAAACACCATGACCAAAAAGTAAGTTGAGAAGGGAAGGTTTATTAGACTTACACTCAACTTTGTTGTTCATTTTTCTTTTTGGGAGGGTGGGAGGGTTAAAATAGGGTTTCTCTGGAACTAGCATAGACCAGGTTGGCCTTGAACTCACAGAGATCCACCTGCGACTGCCTGGGATTAAAGGCATGTGCAACCACTGCCCAGCTGTTCTTCATTGCTGAAGGAAGTCAGGACACCAACACAAACAGGGCAGGATCCCAGAGGCGAGGCAGGAGCTGATGCAGAGGCCATGGAGGGTGTTGTTTAGTGGTTGTTTAGTGTCCCATGGCTTGTTCAGCCCACCTTCTTATAGAACTCAGGACCCTCAGCCCAGGGGTGTCATCACCTACCATGGGCTGGGGCCTCCCTGGTTGATCACTAAATGAGAAAATACCTTATAACTGGATTTCAGGGAAGCATTTCCTCAGCTAAGGCTCCTGATGACTCCAGCTGTGCCAAGTTGATCCACAAAACCAGCCAGTACAAGTCATCATAAGCATATGAACCCAGCACTCGAGTAGGAGGATCGGAGTCTGAAGTCGACCAGGGCTACATGAGACTTTGTAAACTTTAGAGAACTCATGTCTTGTCATAAGAATAACTGGAAATGCAATGAAGAAAAATCATGCTTGACTTGATGCAGTGGGTGTCAGGGTCTTAGTCGAGAGCTCAAAAGATGGAGTCGGGCTTGTAGAGGACTCAGCTTCAGCAGCTGGGAGGTAGAAGCAGGTAGATCTCTTAACCTCTAGGCCTGCCAGGGTTACATAGTGAAACCTTATTTCAAAATAAAAGGTTGATGTCCTTAGACCTATTTAATGGAAAACCTTTAATTATTTGGGAGTTTTATCTTGTGTATGTGTGATGTGTTGGGATCAGACTCAAGCAGGTTAGACAAGTACTGTACTGAGCTACATCCCTGGCGCCTTAAGGTCTCTTCTCTAGTAGGGGACTAGATGGCTTGCGATCAAGGTTGGATTCCCAGTCTTATCTCAGGACTGACATTTCCTAGACACGTGGAGTCTAAGCCAGAAGGTTGTGGTCAGTCTTGTGCATGCATATGTGACTCCATCTTAAACAGCTCTGCTCCTCCCACAGGGGATCTGTGGTGTGTGGTCCATGGGAGAAGCCTTCCAGCAGAATCAAGAGGTTGGGTTCGGCTTCAGTTCCACGCTGGACAAGCCTGGGTACCTGAGAAGAAGGGGAAAGTGATTGCCCTCTTCCTGCTGCCGGCCTGCACCTTTCCGCCCCCACACCTGGAGGACAACATGCTGTGCCCCTCGTGTGTTCACAAGTGAGTGTGCTGTGCTCACACACGGACGGTGGGAGCTTGAAGTTACCCGAGGGAACGTTCATTTGAATTAGCCAGGTTTTGAGTATTGCTTATTTTGCTCATGTGAGTAACCTCCACAGCGGTGTGTTTACAGAGCTGGTACTTGCCATATATGTAGATCAGGCTGATCTCCAATTTGGAGCGGTCTGCTTGCCTCTTGCCTCCCAAGTGTTGGGATTATAAGTGTATACCAGTAAGCCTAGCCAACAGCTTTTTGTTGGTTTAGGAAAGGGTCTCATTATGTAGCTAGGCGAGGCTTGAGTCCTCTTGTTGGGCTGGAAGATGGCTCAGTTCAGAAAGGTGCCAGTGCCAAAGGTTGTCCCCTGGCCATCACGTGTGCATCATAGCATCTTCATACACACACACACACAGAATAGGTGTCTTTTTAAAACATGTTTTTCATACCTCTGTCCCAGAATTGAATAGCATTGAGTAGGTTTGATATCAGTTGAAAGAAACCTTGGGAAAGTTCCAATCAGCGGTGGGCTGGGGTGTGGTGGTGCACACCTGTTCATGGGAGGACTGTCTATACAAATTCAAGACCACCATGATCTACAAGTCTCAAAATTCAACCATGTTTGCTTAATCACAATGAGATTTTTTTTTTTTTTTTAAGGTGAACAGCACTACGGGAATTTGTCTTGTTTCTTTTGCTTTTGTTAAGACATAGTCAGAATATAGGTGTAGGCTCATTAGGCGTCTCTCAGGCACGGCCTACATGGATGGAGTTAGAGTCAAGATGAATTAGCGAATCTTCCTCCTTTGGCATGGTCAAAGGCTTTTTTCATGAACTTTAATTCTCTTGTTCCTTGGAGCTTGGACTTGAACCCAAGTGTTTCTCAAGGAACTACATCCCTAGTGCAATTCAAAATTTTTATTTTGAGTCTGGGTTTTACCTTGAAGTTCAGATTCTCCTATTTAAACTTTCTGATCATAAGACTGGGATTATGGGTGTGTCCCCCAGGCTTGGTTTATGGGGCTTGAGGACTGGGGATCAAACTCAGGATTTCAAGACAGGGTTTCTCTGTGACTTTTAAACCTGTCCTGGAACTAGCTCTTGTAGACCAGGCTAGCCTCAAACTCACAAAGGTCCTCCTACCTCTGCCTCCCCGAAGTGTTGGGATTAAAGGTGTGCGCCACCACCACCCAGCTCAAACTCAGGATTTCGTGTGTTCATTCCTACCCAACCTATCTTACCTATTTTAAAAGATGAAATGTGATTCTTCCTGATTCTGGTTTCTTATCTGGGTATGGCATACTTGTAACCCTAGCACTTGGGAAGTGTGAACAGGGATGGTGGGGAATTCCGGACCAGCCTAATCTACATGTGTTATGGGGGTGGGAGTGGAGATGAGGTGGGAAAGGAGGAAATGAATGGATGAATCTATGAATAAATCTCTTTTTTTCCAGGAACAAGATCCTCAATAAGAGCCTCCAAGGATAAAGGGAATCTCAGGTGTGGGTAGCTGCTGTCATTACCTACTCCTTGGAGTGAGATATGGAACTGCAGCCAAGACCGAGACTGATGGGAATTCACACCTGTGCCCTTGAAGGTGCCCGGATCAGCCAGAAGCCATGAGGCCTTGTTTGTTATTTGTTGCTGCAGTACTAGCAGCTTGGAAAAAGAGCTACCAAAACACAGCAGGTCCACCTCTTCCTTGTGAGGACTGCATACTCTTAAGTGACTATGCCTTTTACTGTTGTGTGAAAATAAGGTTTTGCTGGGGTGGGAACTGGCCAGATACAGTTCTTACTTGTACTGCCACCGCCACAAGGGGGTCATAGGCAGTTCTGTGGTCCCCTGTAAAGATTTAGCTTATGATTGTAGCCTCTGCATGTCCCCTTTCCTGGGTTGTAGTATGTTTGTTAGTGTGTAGTGCTTGGGTTTGTTTTCTATTGTTGCAGTATTAAACCAAATCTGGGTTTTGCCTTTTTCTGTTTGGTTCCTTTTCCCTGAATCCCTTCTGCCTCTCTCTGGACATCATGCTGTTTGTTTGTTTGTTTGTTTGTTTTGGGGAGTTCGAGACAGGGTTTCCTCTGTAGCTTTGGAGCCTGTCCTGGAACTAGTGTAGACCAGGCTGGCCTTGAATTTAAAAAGATCATCTGGGGGGCTGGAGAGATGGCTCAGTGGTTAAGAGCATTGCCTGCTCTTCCAAAGGTCCTGAGTTCAATTCCCGGCAACCACATGGTGGCTCACAACCATCTGGAATGAGGTCTGGTGCCCTCTTCTGGCCTGCACGCATACACACAGACAGAATATTGTATACATAATAAATAAATATTTTAAAAAAAAAAAAAGATCATCTGTCTCTGCCTTCTGAGTGCTGGGAATAAAGGTGTGCACCACCACCACCCAACTATTCTGGACATCATGTTTGAAAGGACTTCAGACAATGCCTGGAGAAGAGGGAGGCAGAGGGGGGCACCACCTTGGCAGGAGGTCTTTCCAACTAACCATCCACTGTGTGAAGGGAGTGTACATCACCATTTTGTGGACCCTTGTGTCAGGCATGCACAGTCGGTCCATAAAGGTGTTGAATGACCAAGGAACTAGCTGGCTTGACTGCCCTGGGGACAGAGTACAGGTTAGGGAAGAAGCTTTTTGAGAGATTGTTTGGCTTTGTGTAGGTGTCATCCCCTGAAGGGCCCCCGTTGTTTACACTTGCCCATGTGATCACTCAGCTTCCACCTCATTTCCCTCACCTCTGCTCTCCTGTCTGACATGTGCATGGAGCTGTCCTGGAGGTCAGTACCCCTTGTGCATCAGACGAAGTCTGCGGCAGGAGAATGGCAGATTGCTGGTTCTGCTTGCGAGGAGACGAGATGACATTTGCACTTCACATTTGCCTCTCGGTCTTAGAATCCAGCCACGCCAATAGGTCCCAGTTTACAAGTGTGTGCCGAGCCTGCTGTGGATCAGAGTGGGAATCTCGGCACGTACCGCCCTCTGTTTTCCCTCGGCTTTGAAAGGGCATGGAAAGTTCCAAGAATAGGTGCTGAAGGCATAGGATGTTGGAGGAAAACGAGTCTCCGGTGGGAAAGCCTGTGCATTCCTGGACACTGAGGGGAAGTGTCCAAGCCTTCCTAGTCAGTAGTGCTGGGGAGTGGGATACAAAGATACAGCAATTTTTTTAAATTATCGTTTAATAAAACACCCAACACTGCCAAGAAAATATCTGTATTTTGTCGTATGAAACTATTTTATCAGAACTGGTGAGGTTCTGAAATCCCAGCAGAAGGAAGGTCATGCGTGTGTCCAAGGCCTGCCCTGGCCACATAGAGTGTTCTGAAATGGTGTGTTACCCTAGGCGGCTTCTATGAGGGGCAGCTGCAGGCTACCCGAGGCCTTGGCCAGTCCCCTTGGTGGGTAGGGAGACCGCAGCAGGTGAGAACAGATACACTATGCAGAGAGAACTGGGATATAGTTTATTTAGTGGGCTACAGAGGGGTAAGGGAAGAGAGAGAGAGACTACTGGAGAGGAAGTAGGGGTTTTGCTTGCCTCTGTGGAAAGGGGGTAGGGAGTGGGTGGAGTTTGACTCTTAAAGGAACAGGGTACCAGGGTGACAGACCAGGCCAGCAGATTACAACAGAATACAAAACCAACCAAGTCAGTATGGTGAGGTTGTCTCAGTGAAAAGAGGTGAAGTAACACTTGTTAGAGCACTTGACATACATGAGACCTCAGATTCAATCCTTGGTACCACTAATCCACTTAGCAGTGCCCTACACCCCCACCCCAGTCAGTTCAAGTATGGCGCCACATTAGTCAGAGTGATTTAAAAGAATGTGTCACTGAAGTGATACAATGGGACGCACACAGTTACTGCTGATAATTACTTTGCCAAAAAAGATTTAATGTGAATCTAATGATGAAGACAACACACAGACAGTCGTGATGCGTGTAGTCGGAGTAATTACTGGGTGAGTCCAGTCAGTTCCCTGTTTCTGATTCCAAAGTAATTAAATAAACCTGAATTTTTGAAGGAAGTTAGTAACTGTTACACCATTCAATCAGCTTGTCTGGCCCCTTTCACATAAAGTCCCTCTGTACCATAATACCACCATTATTGAGTCTTACTTGGGGTGGCAGGTTCTTGGGAAACCACAACATCCCTATGGAAAACTGTATGTTCCATACCTACGTATGTTTCAGCTGGGGAGGGATACCCACAGAAGCTGGAAGAGAGTATCAGCCTCTGGAACTGCAGTTACACAGATAGCTATGAACTGCCCAACATGGAAGAGGCTGAAAAAAAACTTGGATCTTCTGGAAAAGCAGCAAGCACTCTTAACCATTGAACCATCTCTGACTCACTCACATACCTTTGTTTTGGGGTGGGGGTGGTCTCACTATATCCTAGGCTAGTCTTGAAATTGCTTTTTTTTTAAGCTTAGACCATCTGCAAACTCATCAGCAACCTTTCTGCCTTGACTTCTACAGGGCTGGGATTATAGCTGTAATCTGACATTAACCCAGCTCTAAAGTTGTTTAATGAAATATTTTTCCCATTAGGATACTGGGGGAAAGGGATCAGGATGCCGTGTGCTGGTGAAGTGCTGTCTAGCATGTATGAAGCCCTGGTTTGGATCAACACTCAAACTGTGTCCCTCACCTGTAATCACAGAATTTAGGAGGCAAAGGCAGGAGTAACAAGTTCAAAGTCATCCTCAGCATGGTTATACAAAATAGATAAAATATTTTAAAATATTAATCTTGAGCCAGTGAGGTAGATTTATCAGGTAAAGGCACCTGTCACCAAGGCCAAACTACCTCAGTTTATCACCCAAGATGCTCATGGTAGAAGAATCAATTTGAGAGTTTTTCAATGACTAGGTGTGGTTATGCATACATTTAATCTCAGCACTCAGGAGGCAGAAACAAGAGGAACTCTGAATTTTAGGCCAGCCTGGTCTACATATCAAGTCTTAGGACAGCAAGAACTACTTACAGAGAACCTATCCTCCAAAAAAAAAAAAAAAATTTTTTTTTAGTGACCTCCACATATACATTACAACACATGAGAAATTTTAAAAATAAAAGCTCTAAAATAAAAATAAAAGCAATTGGCTAATGGAAAGCACAGGTTACTTACAGGTGTATCAACTAATACATTGGAATTCTTTTGTTGGGGCTGGTCAAGACAGGGTCTTTCTGTGTGTAGCTGGCTGACCTAGTAGAACTCAGTGTGCAGACCAGGCTGCCTTAGACTCAGATCCACCTGCCTCTGCCTTTGCCTCCCAAGTGACGGCATTAAAAACTGTGCCACTCACCCATGAGAATTCGTATAACTTGGGAAAATACTCAACTGAATATATTGAAAGATCCCCTGGAAAAAAAGTCAGGTTGGGACTGTAGGAGCCTCCTGGAGGTAGCATCCTTCTGAGGAGGACCTAAAATTCTGGAACTGACCCTCAGGACTCTGACCTACTTCTGCCTCTCCCACAACCCCTGCAGCAACCCCACCCTTTCATTTCTTGCTCAGCTGCAGTCTTCTCTCTGTGGAACCTTATCTTTTGCCTGGAATACCTTCTTCCAGGTACCAGCTCTCAGAGTGCATGCTTTGGAGGTGACTCGGTGGGGAGAGTGTTTTATCATGCAAGCCTGATGTTGATTTTTGACCGGTCTTCAGGTGGATGCCTGGAACCTAAATGGTACGTTGCCTTTTTTTGAAAATGTTTCCCAAATCGAACTTACAGGTTCCTCAGTACACTGTCTCGGGTTATGGTTCAACTTCTTCATCTTGTAATGTAAACATGAAATGTTTTCTAATGAGTCCTTGGGTGTGCAGGCCAAGTACTTTCCTCCCTGAGTCTCATATCACAGTCTCCTAGAATAGAAGTCTAACTAACAATTGATGCTTAGTAGTTTTTTTTTTGTTCATTTCCCAGCACTGAGAATAACTACAAGTGCTTGCTCCTCCTTTGAAACAAACAAAGAAAACACCAAAGAATAAGAATTGTAAATGACTTAGAATTCATGAGGTATGCAGATGTCTCAGGGATTAGAGAGATGGCTCTGGGGTTGAGGCAGAGGCCTACAGTGCTGGTGTCTCTCCATCTGCTTGAGAGCCGCCCCCAACCCCCACCCCAGGAGACAAGAATAGGCAAAGAAGAGTGGAAAAGGAGCCTACAGCACAACTCAAGCCTGTCTCTACCTCCAAATACAGGGTTATACTAGGACTAAGTCACTGTGGCCATTTTATTAGTGTTGTGACTTGAAACCAGGATGTCATACATGTTACATGAGCACTCAGTGCCCTCAGAGGTACATCATTAGCCTTCTAGCAATGTGTGGGTTTTGTTATTTGTTTTTTATCTGTGTCGCTCTCTCCATCTCTTCCTCCTCTCCTCCCTCTCCCCCCTCCCTCCTTCCCTCCCTCCCTCTCTCTCTCTCTTTCTCTCTCCCTCTCGTTTCTTATCCCTTCCCCCTCCTTTCCCTGTCCTTCCCNCCCCCCCCAACGTGCTTCCCAGTTTGTTTCATTTTGATTTTATGCTTATTTCCTTTTATGATTGAGTCCTTACCTCAGGCCTGCAGAAGACAGTGCATTTCTTATCAGGAACTGGAGTTGTAGATGGTCGCGCGCTGTTGTGAGGGTGTTAAGAGTGGAACCCAGGTCATGAGCAAGGAAGGCCAGAGATCAGAACCACAGAGTAGTAATCTTCTGCCCCTGAAACTGTAATTTTTTTAAAAGCATCCAGTCCTATTACTGCATTTCCCCCCACTGAGATTAACACATTAGAGTTCAACATCACCCTTTGCTTTTAGTTGTTCTTTCATGTTTGAGTAAGAAAGTGAAGTCTGAAGATGAGGACCATGTAAAGTCAGAGAGAAAAACACAAAACTTGATATAAACACACTCTCTCCAGTCTGAGGAAATCCTATGCTTTTAGAGTCTATTTTAAGGTCCTTCCTACAGAGGAATTTTTTATAGGTAAATTTGGAGTTATTATTTGCCATTCATACTGAATCTTTTAAGCCTTCCACCCTCGAATTGATTGATCTTGATGCTCCCATGAGTAATGTCTCTTGAAAAAGGAGGAAGGTCCGAGTTCTTTCCTTCTTCATTTTGAGGTTCCTTTTCAGACAATGTCCACATTTGTCCACTCTGTCCTGGCAAAGCAACTCCAGGAAGAGTTTATTTTGGTACACCATCTGAGAATATAGTCTATCACGTGAAGAAGTCATATAACAGGAGCTGGAGGCATGCCCAGCCGGAGCTGGTCACTTTGCAGTCATGGTTAGGAAACAGGGGGA